TTAATACAAAACCAAGGACTAATGGGAGTAGAAGGAGTTATATGCTGGATGTCTGTGCAGATTTTTTTGCCATTGCCTAATCACCTGAAGCTAGCTGTAAATAACCATTGATTAAGACATGCGTCCTGTATGGTACTCAAAAAAAAAAAAAAAGATTTTACTGGTAATTCAAAAATCCCATTTTTTTTACTTAAACAGATGTAAACACTTTCAACAGTATATTTAATAGATCGAAAGGGAGTAAATAAGAGTTCATTTATATTATATGGATACCTGCGCTTCTTCTAGTACTGTCCACAAATTTTAAAAGTTAATTTCCAAAGTCACAGGAAAAATTCCATGTAGAACTTGTATTCTCCTAACGTTCTTACCAAGTGATGAATCTAATCAAGCCATTCAGTCCATACACTTGTGTCTAATCTCCTAGTAAACAAAATCAAATAATCATGCTCACATCAAAATTATCTTAATGTGCCAAACTTATTTCTACCATGTGAAAAAAACGGTTCTCCGCTTGTTGATCTCCTCACTGAATGGACTCCCCAAAAAGAAAAATACTTTTATAGTGTAGTAATTTATATCAATAAAAGAAGTGCCTCTATATAAATACACTCACATCCTGTATGTGATTTAATCACCCAAAAAAAGTGTACCATCCACCTGGTGCACAACACTCCTCACCCTTCAGATCATTAACCTTACCAAATTCAAATAAAAACGCAGCATGTATGAGCTTCAAGGACCGCTCTCTTTCAGCCAACACCATCTCATGTCCCCAATGTCTCCATATACTCAGAAGCCATCTGAAATCAAATAAAATAAAACAGTGCAGCAGTATCTCACGAGGAAGTCAATCCAACAAAACACATCAGAAAGTGGCAGTGGCCATCTTGGAAAAGGCCTTGAATGCCAAAATTCATCTTCACGTTGTAAGCAGCTTTTTTTTTTTCTAGCAAAGAGTTTTATTTTTAGATACTCATACAATTGAAGAGTGCTTTCTCAAATTATATACACACACACACACATATACAGTGCACACTTAATATAAAGTGCTATACGTGTAAAACTGTGCAATATGCAATAAGTAAATAAATAATCTCCGTATGATGTCAATCAATGAATATATGGTAATAAATATTGCATATATAATTCAATCTTACAGTGCTATTGTGCAATTTGTGCCATGAGTGAAGATAAAAAGTTCATTTATATATACTCTTTTGAGTACATATAATAATGATGAACGGGAATTTCAGCAAGAATTGTCCATTCAAATGATAAATCCGGCAGTCTCTGAGGAACAGCATGTGCTGTTTTTCCAGAGACTGTAGAGGCAACCAGAAGACAGACTACATAGTCTAGGAAGGCACCTGTGGGACCAATCTGAAAGCACAGCACAATCTTGCACATGCACAGTAGGGAGTCAGCTTTGAAACAGCAGACAGACTCCAGGGATCTGAAGACCAACATAGAACCAGTGTTGGTGAAGACAGGACTGAACTCATAGGTTGTGGTTGAGCAAATCTTTCCTAGATTTAAAGAGGCACGCACCACTGGTACTCAGAGGATGCTGGATTAACCCCTACCACCCCTGCACCCAGATGTGACAGAATTGTAACCAATGCCTGAATACATCAGAGTTCTGGTGAGTGCGCACCCATAAGAAGTGGTGGATATTCTTAAAGGCACATGCACCATTGCACTTTGGCACAGAATTTATAGTTCAAATGGACAATTCTTGCTGAAATTCCCGTTCATTTATTTATACTCTTTTGGAGTAGATATAATAATGATGGACTTTTTATCTTCACTTATGGCACAAATTGCACTTTAGGATTGAATTATATATGCAATATTTATTACCATATATTGACATCATACGGAGACTATTGTTATCTATTTATTAATTGTATATTGCACAGTTTTGCATTGAGATAGATATATATATATATAAATATATATATAAAAATATATATAATATATATATATATAAAATTGTGCTCTACCAGGTATTGTTACCCATACCCTTTTAGTGCTAACGGCTATCTGGTACAACTATTACTCTTTAAATATCCTATGTGTATGCGCTCGCTTATACTTTCTTAAAATATTTTTAGATACTGCTGCACTATGTTTTACACTGCGGAAAAAACAGACACTGAGACATGAGACTGTGTTGGCTTAAAGAGAGCCGTCCTTGGATTTGAAATACTGCTGAGTTTTAGGTGAATTTGGCAAGGTGCATGATCTGAAGAGTGAGGAGTGTTGCCAGGTGGATGGTACACATTTTTTGGGTGATTGAATACCTATAGGCAAATGAAAAAAATTAAAACAGCTTAATACTGTATCTACCACTCATACAATCACATATAAATTTATATAAAGTCCATACACAACCCATATATTGAATAAAGTCCACCTTATTCCAAGTGATTGTAGTTATTCCACACAGTAAAGCAGGAGCAAAAAAAAAAAAAAAAAAAATATAGGCGATTCTCCCATTCATATAAATGTACTCCTATGCGCTCCACCACTATGAATTACCAACAATAGAGGCTTCTTACCAAATATGTTGGACCTTAAAATTATAAATTGTCAGACTCGCTTTTGAGAAATACACCTTTCACAACTCTTCTCATAGGGTCTACAGGCCAGCGCACTTCCACTCATAGCAATCGTTGTTAAAAGAGAAAATTAAACACCTCCATAGTGTAGTAGGTTAAGAACATCCTTTATTGGACTTAAAAAGGTTTTCAATAAAATCCAGCACAATTTTACAAACTCTCTTGTAGTGCAAAAAGCAAAACAAATAAGCTGATGGTTTTGAAAACGCTGACTCTGACTGGCTAGCGTGTGTGATGTCATCACGTCTAAGCCATGCCCACAAACAACGTCTTTGGGAGATAGGCCTATACATGTTATTGTATGAGTACTAGATATTAAGTACTGCTTTTAAATTTTTTGATTTGCACCTGTTAATTGGTATCACAATTTTATAGTAGCTGCTACTACTTTTTTGACAGGGAGGATTTTAATTTGTTGATTATATTTATGTAGAGGCACTTATTTTATTTATATAAATTACTACACTATATGTTTTCTTCTTTCTGGGGAGTCCATTCGGTGAGGAGATCAACAAGTGAAGAACAGTGGAAGGATAATATGCATAAATGCAAGAATTGTTTGAATTGAGGGTAAGGGTAAAAGTGGTGGACACCTGAGTTTTTCACGTGGTGGAGATAAGTTTGGCACATTAATATAAATTTTGATGTGAGCATGATTATTTGGTTTTATTTACTAGAGAAGATTACACTATATGCAATTTATATATTTTTTTACATGGTGGGAGAGAGAGACAGAGTCAAATTAGAGATCTACATATAAGAGAAGACACAAGTGTATGGTCTCAAGTGCTTGATTCATCACCTGGTGAGAGCATAAGGAGAGTATAAGTTCAGCATGGAATTTTTCCTGTGACCTTGGAAAGGAACTCTTAAAATTTGTGGACAGTACTCGAAGTGCTCATATCCATATAATATTTGGTTTACATAGATTCTAAAGTAGATCTGTAGTCAAATGTTAAAGTGATAGTAAAGGCTAACTGTAAGTGATCCAGCAAGTCGAAGCTTCTGGATCCTGTGACAGACTGAAACAGATTAAAAATAAAAGGTATGTACACATATCATTTTTATACAGGCTATGCAGCCTAGGTGGGAGGAGGAGGGAGGCAACATTTTTATAATTAACCTTATCTTCTGCTTTAACTTAAAAGGAATTGTACTTTGTTCTAAAGAGGCTTGATCATCCCCTCCATTGCTACTATTTATCTTCTCTGCACTGTAGAGCTGCCCCATTTGCCCATTGGAGCCTGACGAAATTCCTTGTGCATTTGGATACGAGAGAGCAAGTGACTCTCTACCATTCTTCCTTAAAGAAGCACTTGACATTAAAGTCAAACCAAAGACATTGCTAGGATTATGGAAGACCTGAGGCACCCTGTGGACAGGAGGAAGCTGGTGCCATGGTGAAATGTAGGTTTGCACAAATTTTGCTAATCGTGGAAGGGGATTAAAGGGGCATGGTTAAAAAAAAAAAACACCTGAACCTAATCACTATATACACAGCACACATATGCTATAGTCCTTGTGCTCACAAAATAGGTTTTAATTACACAAACAACAGCCTCAGTAACAAACCTCAGTACAATTTTAAAATTTAAATTCTTCCATTACATATGTTTTTCTACACATTGCCTACCTTGAAGAACCTGATTAAAATAGTTAAATCTAGCAACTTTTGAGATAATAAAAACTTTGGCGTGTTATACAGAGTGTAGCGATCGGGAGTACGTAATGCATAGAGTGCAGGAACACACAGTGGAGAAGGAAACTCAACCAGTGCATGGGGTCAGGAACATGTTATCCACAGAATGTAGGGGGCAGGAAATGGTAATACAGCTTATAGAGAAGGTTGATTGTTGTGCATATGTATTGCATTCTCCTGACCACTGCACTCTGTATATTGTGCCATACATTGCATACTCCTGACCACTGTGCTCCACAAGTGCAGTGTTCAGGCCTGTGTAATGTACTGCTTGGTTTACTGAGTGAGAGCCTAAGAGTACACCCCCTGGACCTTTTCAGTTACACCCTAAGCAAAAACTCCCTGCCAAGAAAAAGTCTTACCCCCCCAACACAAATCTCCCTGGCCACCACCCCACTGGCCTCTTTCAACCCACAGGTCATATTTCCCTGCATGATGTTAGGCAATCAGTGCCTTATAAGCATATATCTTTGCTAATAATATTAGTCTTTTATTAGTGAGTATTAGTAGGAAACGTATTCAACTGAATGAGCATTGCTGAGAAAGCTGATAAATCCCCTACTTGGCATATCATAAACCAGATGTCAAACAGTGCACATAGCTTCCTCCACCTTATCTACAAAATGTAAAGAATGTTTTAATATATGACAATAAGTAATTAAGTCTGACCTTGAAAGTTACTTGAGTGGGATACGTATGGGAGTTAATGAATAACTCCCATATTTACTGAGAAGACCCCTAGTGGCAGGAAATCCAACAGGCTTCAGAGGTCCTAGAAAGAGAGAATAGGTTTTTAAAAATAATCTACCAACTATATTAAAATTGACATCAAGTGTTCTTAAACTTCCAGTCAAACACAGAACTTGAATAAGGTATAAAAAGGGAAGGTTTTACTCACAGCAATATCCTAATTGTTCAGTAGTCTTTGGGGACAGTGCACAACTAAGTATATGCCTTGCCTTGCCACTAGCAGTTGGACACTAAAAAAAAAAATAGAAGGCTGCCTCCTCCTAATAGGCTATACCCTCCTGGACAGACAGATAGCTTCAGGAGTAGAAAGTGAAAAGGTACATTTAGGTAATGAGAAATGTAGATCATTACCACACCGAGTCTTAACTATAGAATGTAATTTGGCCAGTACCTATTTTACCCACTGGAGAAGGGCCACCTGTGTGCTGGTCTACAGCTTTCTGCAGGATAATCCTAATAAGCAATTTACCAAGGTAGCGAAAGAGAAATAAAGATGTGGTAGAGAAAAAGTGGTCCCTGGTTCTAAGTAAGGCCATGGCCTTGGTCCCATAAAGCCATGGCAAGGCCATGCACTTAAAGTAAAGTTCCTCACTGAGGTGTGCAGAAAACCAGAAATTCTCACTGTTCAAAAACTCCATATAGAATTTCTAGGGCCAAATAAAACTTTGAAAACCTTGAAGTAGAACAACTCTCACAAGAGTATGGTGGAGAGATGGAAACTATCTTGTGGTCAGTGAAGATTACCACTTTTTCCCAGATGTCAGTGATGTTGTCAGGACAGCACTTGGTAAATATCAACAGTCTTCCCATCACCTTTTTGGCTAAATATAGGGACAGACCTTCATGTGGATATAGATTTATCAGACACCGTATTAGGCTTGGTAAGCTTCTATCTAGGTTCAGAGCTCAACTCTGAGGCAAAAAAAAACATCTTCGCAAAATCGCATTCCCCCATGGTGTCTTTAATATCTAGGAAGGCCCCTAGAAGACAGACGTATGTGAATTGCCATACCACTAGGACCTTTGAGGGGCTTGTACTGCAAGCAGCACTTAAACCAAAGAATCCTCCACATAGCAAGACACAAAAAGATAGTGTAGGAGATTAGGTGAGCAGCATCTACCATAACAATCACAGGAGCTTGCTGGCCTGCACCTGCAGGTCAATTAAACATGGAGAGGATTTTTTCAGGACTCTCTGGCCCATTTGGCTGAGGCCGTGTTTCACCCGTGTGGAGAACATGGGCCTGAGTGGGAAACCTGCAGTAAAGAGCAGCTTTGTAAGGGTTTCTATTTTTTCTTGAAGCATGCAGAGTTGGGAACTGTAATTACTTTGGCATTGCCAAGGCGGGATACCACTGGGAAATGTAGACATGCAGAAGAGACTTCAGAATGTGCTCAATCAGCTATTTTGATGCTGAAAAGGAGTGCGGAGCACTCCATCGATTTCCTGATCAGGGAATGAACTTAGAAAAGGTGCTTGTAGAGCATAACAGTGCTGTACCAGTGAGCTGTTCCTAGGAGCAGAATGACTGCTGTTTTACAAGGGTACACAGCGGAGGTGATTTAAAAAAGTGGGTTAAGGAGACCCAGACTTCTCTATAGGGACACAGCAGCACCCCCCACCCCCCAGGAATATCCTCTCTCACCACTCAGAGATGGGTGCATTTTCAGCAGTGAATACCCAATGTTTGATGATCACAGCATGGATTCTAGGCTGCAAATAGTTCCTGTCCACAAAGAGTAATAGAGGCTGCTGAGACTCTTCAAGGTTTGGTGGCCAAGAGATGATGAACATGCATGAGATCACTTGTTCACAGTGATCTTAGAGCAGAGCTTGCAAGATTTTGAAGCCAAAGTAGGACATAATGTAAATGGCTGTAACAGTGAATATAAGATTTAGTGAGCTTGTGTGATAACAGAAAACTAATCTAAACTGGCTCTGACAAGGGTATAGTCCATGAGAAGGAGCCAAGCCTTCTATTATCTTAGTTTCCAACCCCCTAGGGGCAGGGCATTTACTCAGTGGATTACCCCCAGTGAACACTAAGAAAAAAAAGCTATTTGCCATGGTCTGTTTTTGCTTTTGGATGTACAAATTAAAAAAAAAAAAAAGTTTATATATTTTCCATATACCATTGAACCTCAAATAGGAAGGCTGTCAGGCATGCACTACTTCTGTGGGTTTTAGATAACACTGTGGCTGTAACAAAATGTGCTTTGATCCAACAAAGCTTAAAAACAGTAAATGATACACTAAAGTGCTCAACAGTTAATGAGCTAGTACACTTTACTGGGGATGTTTCTCTGCACCGGAGATATCCTTGAACATAAAGTCCACCCAATAATTATATTTACTTTTAAAAGAAAGTTGGTAGGGAAGGGCCATTATCAGAAAGAATAGTTTTACAACCTATAAAATTAACTAATATGGACAATGCTTAAAAAAATGATCTATGATTCATAAAAGGCCCTTTTGCATCAGTAGAGCTGCATTCACTCTATAGTATTGTAATTATTGAAAAACAAAAACCATGAACCATACATGCCAAGCCATTCATTGTTAATGCCACCCCAAATGCAACCAAAGTGCAACAAACACAGCAATATGCGCTGTTAAAAATGGAAGAGGCTTAAAAATGTTCCTGAGCTAGGTTTAGCACGTTTGTCGCATGTAGGGCAACCCATGGAAAGGAAACATATGCGAGTAGTGCAAAAAGACGCACATATGCGTAACGCCTAACGTTGCACATCATAGTGTAAATGGGGCCTAAATTGTAGTTTATGGAATAATGAAATTTATTTATAAGATTAGATATTGGAAACAATACTGACATATCGCTGTTATCTTCAGCACATCTTTATTCTTCAAAAATACAATATAAACCAGTATTGTAGCCAAAGTAATTTACATATGCCACAAAAAACTTCAAAGCACATAGGAAGTAGGGAGATTTTAGGTAAGATTGAAATTACAGTCTATCAATTACAAAAGTAATAAATCAGCAAGGCATACAGTTTAATAAAAAACGACTCCTGACTTACCTATCTGGAGTTTTGTATAGTCTGTGAGCACCTTTCCTGTGACTAGACGCCGTTCTTTAGGACTGTTTTTTTCCTAGACAGAAGGCAACTTTCATATGTTTTTTCCTTTCTTGCAGTATTGATGTATCACAGTGGCTGTATCGTTTTACAGCTCTTCTCACTTTCCTTAGGCACATTTCATATCTACACTGGAGTGCGTTTACTTTTTTAAAACACCGGCGTTTGGTAAGAATTTTGCCCACCCGAAATCCATATTTTGTGCTAAAACTAGGGTTCAATTCCAAACCTGATTTCACAGTACACTTGGTGCTCCTATCAGAAGATATTTCATTTGAAAGTAACATTTTTGTTTCCTTACTTCCACATTTTGTTAGAAAAACTTTGCAGTCTTTAATGCATAGTTTGTTGGAGCATTTAGGTTCAATTTCTCTTAATGCCTTTGTATTTTTATTGGAAAAAACTGACTCAGCGTGTGATGGTAGTGAAGACACTTGTACTGTTTCAAGGCTAGTAGAAGGTTTAAGATCATCTTTGGTTAACTGCATAGTTTCTTTGACGGTGGATTCTGCAGCATCAACTTTTGTTCTACAAAACTCCTGATTTAAATTCTCACCAGGACATGAAAACTTTACAGAGACTTCTTTGGTTTTATCACTGCTACTTTGCAAGATATTCATATTTAGGATTGTTTTGCGCTTGTGCTTGCCTAAATTTAAGGAAAGGCTTTCAGGTTGGACAAATTTAGAAACTCGATGAAGTTCTTCTAAAGTGCTAGACTGGGTCAGCTGCATGCACGGTTTCAAGTATTTTTTAGAAACTGAAAAATGATTGCTGTGTTTTGTTTTTCTTTTACAACCCTTTTCAGTAATTCTGTGAAGAGGTTTGCGAGCATTAGCTTTTCTCACTATTGAAAGGGACTGCGTTTCTGTTGTTTGCATAAACCAGGTAGCAAGGTCATTCATGTCACATTTTTTCTTAAAAAGCATCTGAATGGGTGACCTCGATTCTGAGCTGGAGCATTTCCAGAGTGGTGACAACTGTGTTTCACGGTCTTTCTCTACATTGTTCTCACTGACCCACGTCTTTGCAATATGTTCATACCTGCTTTCTAAATGGTTTAACAAAGTCTCATTTGACGTTGTTGCAGACCACCACTCAATAGCAGTGTCAGCCTGTAGATCAGGTAGATCAGGATCTGTAGAAGTACACATACTTTGATCTTCATTATCAACACTATTTAAGTGTATTAATGGTGGCTTACATTGCGGCTTGTAACTTCTCAATTTCTTTCTGTAATGTTTATTTTTGCAAAAGCTATGCTTTTTAGATTTATGAAACAAGGCACATCTTACAGAAAATTTAGACTGGGAACCATAATACAGTGCAAATAATGGTGACTTTTTGGATCTGGTCATATAATTTGACAAGGCCTGTTTCCTAATCATTCGGGATTTCAAAATTGTTTGCTTCTTTGGTTTTGTTTTTTGGTTGAGGTCTTGCTCTGATTGAAATTTTCCCAAGTTAAAAGTGTTTTTACCATCATCCTGCTGAACATCTGACAGAGATTTGATTTTGTTCTTTGTTTTTTGCTGCTGTGAACTGCATTCATTAACCACACACAAATTAGGGACAGTGGAAGGCTTCTTCAGTTTCTGGAGACGTGATGAAAATCGTAGTGATATTTTGCAGTTTTCCCTTTCAAGTGGCATAGTATGGTCTCCCAGGAGTCCGACATTTGCATTGGATATCACAGAAGACTCCAGAATCTTGTGCAATTTTTTAATTTTAATCTGAGTACTGGATATATTTTTGGCTACATATGTTTCAGTGGTACTTGATTCTCTGAAATGATCTGCCATTTTAGAGCGGGTAACAATTTTGCTGGTCTTATAAGGAATATAAATCTTTAGGTCATTTTTCATTTTAACAGGCATTTCCTTGTCAAGATTCTTTGACCTTGATTGTTTAACAGTTGATTTTCCCACATTTCTCAGGATGTGACGACCAACCATTTCGGACCCTAACAATTTTCGCCTCACAGTGTATGCATCTTTCGGATGATTCTGAGTAGTTACACAAAGCTTCAGATGGACTTGAAGATGCAATCACTTTGCACTGTGAATTATGAAAGTTGTTCAGATTGTCAGATTGGCTGAAGACAATTTGGCATTGCATTTTTGCTTTGCCCATCATTGGACGGTTTTCTTAACATAGTCATTGGCTGGTGATCTCTGTTGTTATGGGGAGTATACACAGGACTTAAGGCATATTTTTCTCCATCTTCAGATTCAATCTTAGAAACAAACATAAGTTTAATTGGGCTAAGGTATGTGTTCTTGGAAATCCTACATGATACAGAATGAGTTATAGATTTTGAACTTAAAGCTAAATCACCTTGGTTTTTTTGTGTTGCTGATCTCAAGGTTAGATGATTGCTTGACCTAACAGCTGTCAGTGGTTTTATTGACAACTGGCCTGATGGCAACTCAAGTATTTCGCCTTTATTAGTAATGCTTTCTCTAGTTTCACAATTTTTTTTGCTTCCTTCTGGAATTTGTGTACCAGAACCAATGGTGTTTTCCAAACGTTCTACTACTACCATCAAGTGGGCATTTCTTGCTTTATCAGTAGTATTCCTACCAAACAGTGCATCACTTTTAAAGTTCTTTAAAATCCCTGAGTTGTGTTTGATGGTGCATTTGCAAAATAAATTAATGTTTCCTGGAAAAGAACACTGGCCATGAGAGACATCACATAGTTTGCATTTTCCCAAAATATTTTTGGAATATCTTTTTAAAGGAATGTTGCATTCAAAAAAAGAATCTTGGTGAGAAACGTATTTTATGCATATTTACATTTTCTGTGGCTGAAAATGTTGAGTCTTCGAGTAAACATAGCTGATTATTTTTGACACAACTAACATTCTTAGAATGTATTCCTGATTTACTATGAGGTAGTTCTGTTTTATTTTCTTGTGCGGCACTCTCTGTTGGAGTATTGTCAGGATCCTTTGTGACTAAAATGTCACAAACCTTCTGTTTTTTATAGCCCACAGCCTTAGCCATATTCTCAGTTGATTTCTGCAAATTTTTCTCATAACCATTTTTTTTTTCCTTAGGAAAAGTGCCACAGAAATTAGGTTTGCTAGTACATTCCATTGACTGACTGCTAGGCAAAGAGCAACCAAATATTGGTGACTTTTGTTGGCTTTTTTGGAATCGTGTTTGAATCCCTGTATCCTCTAGGCTTTTTGTATCTTGGTTTAGCAGCTCTGCAAAATTGTTTGTTTTGGAATTGTTTAGAAGGTGCTTAATTAAATTTCCAAAATGTACTGAGCCAATCTTACATTTGTCTTCAGAACTTTGAGTAGTTGCATTATTTTCTGTAGACATAAGGTTTTTCCTTTCTCCATCAATGCCACATGATGGATCCTTAGTAATTGAACTTTTAGACACAGTCTTGTGGGTTCCCTTCGGTCTGGCAGGATTTGTTTTTTATAGAAACGGGTGATGCTGGTTGATTGCAATATTTCAAGTCACTTTTTACCATTGTCCCATCCAAACATGTTGCAACTCTTTGTAACTTCAAACGGGGTAAAGATGAAGAACAACTGATGGCACGGTACCTACTAGAACAGTGAATAAATAATTTCTTCTTTTTTGAACGTGTATTTATGCAGTGCAAAACCTGATCACTGGATGTAAGGTGCAAATCTCCATGTTTAATGGGATTCAGTTTCACAGTTCCTAAGGCTAAATTAGGCCACGTAAGGCGTAAATCTTTTAGGCGGACAGACAGATAAGGCAGATTAGCAGAGGATGCTTGCTCCTTAAGACTTACACAGTTACTGAGTTTTTCATTTGTGCAAGAGTAAAGTACAGCTGGTGATTTGTTTGTTCTTTTAGATGATTTTGCTTGTTCAGAAACTTGTAGATGGCCACAGCAAACCTGTGAACATGCTTTCTGTTCCTCTCTTAAAAACTTCAGCATACGTACTGATTGCTGTTGGTGGTACAAACAGTAAGTGGCTAAAACTTTAGTTAAAGCAGTGTTTACTTTCGGACGTTTTGTCACTTTCTTGAGTTTCCGTAAAAAATAACCATTGACGACACTGTAAAAAAACAAATGAGAGAAGAAATGAATTTAAGATATATAAATATTAGCCTTATATTTGTAAATAGACAAGGCATTAAAGACACTAAAGTTACTCCATACCTCTACAAATTCATTTTGTGGGATGATCATAATATGTACTAGCATGCTGGCAGCAGGACCTGATCTTGTAGCATGGGGTTTGGTGAGAGTAGGCAGCAGGACCTGATGTTGGAGAGGGGAGGAGGCAGAGAGCAGGCAGTGGAATTTGATCATGGAAGGAGAGTGGCTGAGTAGAGGCAGAACCTGTTCAATGGAGAAGAAAGGGGGGAAAAAAAGAAAGCAGTAGGGCTTAAGCTCCAGTAAGGGATGGATGATGCAGTTGGATTTTATTGTGGAGTGGAGGAATTAGAAGAGGAATCAAGGCCCAAAAATGGAAGTGGAATTGGATGTGGGTAGAAAGGCAGCAAAATTTGAATCCTTGATTTTGAGGGATTTGGAAGGGAGTAGAATAGCAGCTAAACAGTACAAGGAGATTGGACACCAGGAAGGTGAGAAGGTGAAAGTGAATGATAAGGGCAATGTGCAGGTAAAGAAGAAAAAAGAGTAGGTACTGGATTTGAACTGCCAACTGCAAACAGGAGAAATAGGCTGAGGACAAATATGCGAGTGTTGAAATGGCATAAAGAAAGCACTGAGCATGCGCAGAAGAGGTAGGGACAGTGGGCAATAAGCAGCAATGATGAGCAGGAGGACAATACACCAACATGAGAAAGAGCATGGAATAGAGAAGAGGACTGCGATGCAGCTAGAGCAGGCAAACTAGAAGAGACTCATAGGAAGCAGGATCTGTAAATTACCAAGAGGAGAGGAATTAACAGTGAAAGAAGATAATAAGAGTCAAGACTTGAAGGTAAGCAAAAAAGACATAGGCAGAAGACATGGCTTCCCGCTACAGTACTGGCTGTGCATTGGGGCATTTGATTTTGTTATTATTTGGCTTTATGTGCCTCAGGCCTAGATCTTTGCTTCTGCCACACTCTCGGGTTCATTTTGAGACCATAGGTAATACATGAAGACTATATACCTTCTGGGAACATCCTTATTGTGTTTAATTTGAGCTCTCATAATATGCTGGACTGTGTAACCTTTACTTACATGTAAAAGGAAAACGGCAATATGTGCATTTTATTCATGCCTATTGCAGAACCTGTATGTTCAAAACGTTTTTAAGTTTGGGTAGAACAGAGAAGCTCCATTCAGGAAATCTCTCCAAACAGTACAAAGGCAGCTATACAGGCACAGGTGAAAGGTTAAATTCTTATTTATATTTTTGTTTTTAATGGTATCTGCATTCCATTAATTCAACATTCTTGAGTGAACCCCCACATTTCTGGAATAGGAAGCAAGAGATCTCCCCTATGGGGGCATGGGCAGCATCTAAAAATGTGTT